TCCATACCTGCGCTTGAGCACCTCCTTGGCACCTTGTGGAGCTGGCCGCTGCCGGTAATGGGGCACGACAGACCCAGACGAGGCAGGAGGAAGGTGCTGGGACAAATCAACATAGACACATACGCTGCGACTGAGCTTCGGAAGAGCGGGACCCCCAGGGCTCTGAGCCGGTGAGCATCCTGGAGGGTTACCTGGAAGGGGTGATGCCTGAGCTAAGAGTTGAAGAAGCATCCCCCAGGTCAAGGCCAGAAGGATTTCCTAGCGGGAAGTTGGGGGAGCAGGAGAGTAGGGGTGGTGTGGAGGTGGGTCTGGCTGGCCCAGGCGGGGAGAGGGGCCATGGTGAGCTGTGAAGCCAGGCCTGGGTGGGGGACTAGTGGAGCTGGGTCTCGGCATGGGGGTGGGGGGTGGGGGGCTTATCTCCTGACGGGTGGGTGGTGCTGGTGGATCCAGTTGCAAGCGCTCTGTGGCTGAAAGGGGAGCCCACGCCTGCCTCCGGCCACCACCTGCCTGCCTGCTGACTCGTCTGTGCTCGGCCAGTAATGCGAGCCCCAGGGAGGGAGCCGCAGGGCACCCTGGGCCCCCCCAACCCCCGGACCTCCTCTGGCTGGGCATAGCTGCCCAGCAGAGCCGATGCAGGTAAGAGAGGCCTGGGGCTTAGGCAGATGGGGAGTGGGGGGCCTGGAGCTGAGCAGGAGGGTCATGGAGAGGGACCAAACAGTGGGATGGGCTGCTGCCCAGCTGGCCACTGCCCACCCTCCCCGGCACCACCCACCTTCTGCAGAGGCCCAGGCTCCTGTCCTCTGGGGCAGACTCCTGGGGTCAGGGCCCAACCATGCAAGACAGTCTCAGAGGCAGGCAGGGTGGGCGGCAGCTCCCCGTACGCCTCCCCCAGGATGCTGCAGCCAGAGAGTGCCTGGGTCTCCGAGGAGGGGACACCACTGGGTCCCGGCGGGGCGACTGCATCATCTGCTACTGAGCCTACGGCCTCACGGGGCACCTGCCACGCTGCCTCTACCGTGGCCACACCTTCTACCGGGCGTGCGTGCCGCGGCTGGACACTCCGGCCCACGGGCAGCGCTGGGTCCCTGCCCACGGTGCCGCCGGAGCACACCCACACCCCGCGGAGGGGTGCATGCTGGACCTCGACCTGGCCACCCTCCTAGCCGTGAAGGCCGAGGGGGAGCTGTCCCGTGTGGAGCCCCCTGTGCCCCCCGAGGCAGCACTGCCATCGCTCAGCAGCTGGCCGGGCTCTGTCCCACCTTGGGCACCCGGCCCCAACTCCCCCAGTCCAGGTGCTGCAGGGGCCTCTGCTGGGACGCCCCCGGCAGCCCCGAGGTCTGAGTGCTGCTTGCTGCCTCTCGCGGCAGGGGAGAGGCTGCCCAGAGCGTGTCCCTACCTAGGAACCTCCAACTGCAGCACAGCCAACCCAGAACAGCCCGGGGGTGGAGCATCCTGCGGGCTGCCCTACACGGAACCCCCCAGACCACAGCCTAAGTCTGGGGGCTGTGCCCCTGGTGCTCTGAGACTCTGCGAGAAGCGGGTGACCTCCTGCTCATCTTGGCCGGGATTCCTGGGCCTCAAGCTAGCCTGACTGTGTGCAGGGGGAGGGTGCAACTGTCAGAGTCACCTGCAAGCCCCGCCCAGGCCTGGACTCAGCTCAGACGCCTCCACGGGTCTCTGGCTGCAGGTCAGAGGGTCGGGGCCTGGCCAAGTCTGTACCTGCTCATGCTGGAACCCATCTCCCCTTCCCCATGAAAAGTCCCAGAGGTGGGAGCCAGAGCAGAGACAGAGCCACCCCCTTCATCCTTGGCTTGCAAAGCAGCCCTGTGAAGTTCATTCATTCAGCAAAGCCCACTGAGCCTCAGCTATGCGTTGGGCACCGTCCCAGGAGGGTCTCCTGCAGGCACAAAGTCCCTGCTATGACAGGTGTCCAAGGAGAGGGCCTGGGCGGGGCCGGCTCTAGGCCCAGAGAGGGTGGGGGCCTGCCTGAGGCAGCACAGCTCAGCGGAGCCGCTCCCCCACGAGGCCTTTTCCAGGTCCTCAGCTTCCTCCTGCCTCACAGTGGCCAGCACACAGACCCTTCCGAGGGGCCAGTGCAGGTGCTGGAGGCTACGGACACAGACCCTCCCCCAGGTCAGGCTGCGACATCCCCGTCCCCATCCAGAAAGGAACTGTCACACGGTCTCTCAGGAGCCTCTGGGAGGGACCGCTGGGCCTGCCCTGGGCAGTGGGTGCCGGACAGGGAGGGACAAGAAAATTTGCTGAGAGGACACTCAGAAACCTCCTCCTTCTCTGGGGCAAAGTCCCCCAGGAACACAGCGATTGGTGGGCAGCAACTAGACCAGGGTGCTGTGGCCAGCAGGCCCCCTGGGGAGACCAGGCCCAAGGGGGAGGGGAGGAGCATTTCCCAGCAGGGGCGGCAGGAAGGGGGCTGACCCCGAGAGGCACCCACGAGCCATGGGGTCAGTCAGGATCATTCTCCTGTGGAAGTGAACAGGATGGGCTGCGTCTGCGGGTCCAGGAGGGGTGGGCAGTGGGCTGGGCAGCAGGGTGGCCTGGGGATGGGCCCTGCCCCCCCAACTTGCAGGTGGAGGTGCAAGACCCTCCACCATTACTGCCCACCGCTGGGGTTGAGCCTGCTGGGAGCTCTGCTGGGCCCAGCCCTGCCCTGAACCCAGATCTGAACCGGATGACTTCAGGGAC